GAAGGCAAAGATAAGGGGCTTGCGGTCAGTGTAGACCGTGAAAGCGCGGCCTTCAAGTGTGTGCCGGAAGTGACGTATTGCTAGGTAAATGGCGAGCATTTCTCTGCCAAACGTGCTGTAGCGGGATTCCGTTGGCTGCAGACGCTTGGAGAAGAACCCAAGGGGTTGCCAGCGCCCACCAACGTGTTGTTGGAGGACGGCTCCTACTGCTACGTCTGAGGCATCAGTCGTAATAGAAAGAGGTGCAGTCGATTCGGAATGAGCGAGGAGGGCTATGTTGGAGATAGCATCCTTGAGCTCGGCGACGGCTGCCTGTGCTGTGTCAGGGAAAGCGAACTTACGTTCATTTCCTCTGAGTAAGTCAGTCAGTGGCTGCATGAGCTGAGCGCAGCGCGGAATGGAGCGTCGATAGTAGTTGACCAAACCACAAAATCGACGCAGGTGCTTGAAGGAAGTCGTTGCATCCACAGCTCGCGGAGAATCCCTACGTCCATGTTGGACGTGCCGATGAGCTGTTGCATTTCGCGCAGCAAGGCTGAGGGCATCCTATCTCCTAGCTGTAGATCACTAAATAGTTGCTGCAGACGGACCTTGTCAGAAGGCGTGATTCGCTGAATAATAGCCTGTTTAAGTGTCTCGTATTTCATTACTAGAGGGGGGCAAAGTATGATGTCTCTCACCTGCGAGGATATACTATAAGGAAGGCAAGATATTAGCTGGTTATACATGGCGAAATCAGAAGAAATCTTACGAATATAAAATACGGATTCTAAATGTAAAAACCATAATAAAGGGTCATTCTCCCAAAAAGGGGGAGGGGCCAATGCAACCGAATTGACCATGGCAGGCTGAACGGCGTTAACTGCGCATGGAGACGGCTTATGCTCTAGATTATCCATTGCAAAAAGCAGATAAAAATGTCGTAGGTGAGAAAACAATATGATCACAAGTAATGAATCACAAAATCACTGGAACGAGCTCACCAGAATGAAAATGCAAAATGGCGGGCAGCGTGTTCCTGACAGGGGGTCACCAATTGTAGGACTAGTTAATACTAGTCCGAGACGGTGCGCGGATATCAGAAGGCAATTGGAGTCGGACACAGCGGACTGTATTCGATGGGACTACAACAAGAAACGGACGGATGAAGCGAGGCAAGAGCGTACATGTGAGCGCGGGAACTTACAAGGCAGTTGTGTGTCGAGCCGGTTGTAAGATTAAAACAAGAAGGAGTAATGTACAATCGGTCAACAAGTAAATTGTACACGAAAGATAAGTTATCTTTGTGGGCGCTACAAGCTGCACGGAGAGATAAAATCACAGCAACACTGGGCATAACGGGTTGTACCACCATGTACATTTCCAACAGTAAAACCATGAAAATTACGACGCCTTTCGTATGGCATAAGTCTTAATCTTATGGAAGGTAAGCTACTAGGCCTTTAGCAGGCATCTTCCCTTATTCGAACTTTTCTCGCGACACAATGGCCAGGTTATTTCAAACTGTTACCTTTCCTAATTGCACGGGTCTTTTTGGAGCATTCTTCTTGTGAATGAATTGCCAAGCGTAACCTCAGTGGGGGCTGCGAATTGCCTTAAAACGAACCTTGTTCAATTTGGGCACAGGAGCAAGTCTCGCTTCCTGATGTCTCTGGTGAGATCAAACCAGCTCGAAACTAGTGGTGCAGTGCAGTGTTTTCGCGATTGGTAACACCTAATATTCATCTGCTTCAGCTACGGCTGCAGTGATGCGTTTGACAGAGTTCACTTCAATACGCATCGCCGTCCACATTGAGATTGTGCCTCCCAATCCATTCACCAAACAAGTGCTTCAAAATTACCCCTGCAGTCAGTTACTAGCTGCATTGATAAGCTTTGCTCGTCGTGACTAGTTGGCTTAGTGGTTGAGATTTCGGCTTATACTCAAATGTCACGGCTTCAATGCCTGTTGGCTCTGCCTGATGAGATCAGATAAGCTCGAACAATCATGGGGTGCATCGTTTTCGACGAAGCAAGGCGCGTCAAGCGTGCATGATCGTTGTCTTTGTCGTGCATCCTATGCGTCTAACTAATCAAGACCTGTATCATTCTAATCAGTGGATATCTAAGATTTAAACGGTGTTACCTTCCATTTTTTGCATAAAATAAATGGTTCAAACTAATGTAACTTGCGTGCTGATACGTTTTGCGAATATGCAGAGACTAATTATCTATGCAGAGTATGCCTAGACGTAAGAGTTAAACCGCACCAGTCGTGGTTTCGCTGTGACTTGTATGCGGATTGATGTGTCACGACTTCGGTACTCCTATCGAGCGGCAAATTTATTGACAACATCGCCTGAAAGCCTGCCTGCATATGACTAACAATCTGAAGATTGGTTGTATCGGTGTGACACTGCTAATCTTGCCAGTTGACCTTCCTATTCCAGAAGTCCGTCACTAAATGGCCTATAAGTACGACCAAAGTCGGTTACACTTGTACGGTGTTTTTGTTGTTTTGTCAAGATCATGTGATCCTGATTTTTCGTTCCGTTGGGTTAGAGGTCTTGTGCAGTGCTTTAGGGCTTACTTCTGAAACGCAACAAGTGAAAAGATTCAACGATTTGTGACATAACTAAGATTGCATCGTCGGCCTTAGAGCCAGCGAAAGAAGCTATACGGTATGCCAATGAGTGCCGTTCAGCACTAATATATTACTTCTATTTTGCTTACTTATCCGCCATCCCTGAGATACTGGGTTTTACTTATAGCTCTGACAAGCTTGGCAAACTACCGTGTCTCGCCAATCTGCTTCTTGCTCCGGAATAATGGACCAGGACAGCTGACGATGGAGTCACCATAAATGTGGTTTACTTCGACTTTTCTATGACCTTCGACAGGGTCAATCACTTTGTTCTCCTCCACAAGCTTGCTGCCTACGGTATCGAGGGTCCCCTGCTCACCAGGGGACCAAAGTAGCCAACACTCACTCTGAAAGCCTGTGCTTCTCCAGTGGTGTACCGCAGGGATCCGTCCTCGACCCGCTTCTGTTTTTAGCCTAAATCAATGACCTTCCAGAAAAAATTCAATCCCCGATGAAAATATTCACAGACGATTCTAACACATGAAAGGCAATTCGCTCAGCATCTGACCGTGTCTATCTTCAGGAGCATCTGGCTCGGATTAACAAATGGGCAGCAAGGAACTATCTCCGACTGAACCCTGCAAAGTGTCATCTGCTAACGATGTGTAGCAGCTACCTCAGCACATATCTTTTGGGGCAAAACGTTCTTCAACATGTGACTAATGAACGCGAATTAGGGATCATCGTACACGAAAGTCTTGGTAATTCGCTTCAGTGTTTGTAGGCAGGAACTATGGCGAACTTGAACATGAGGCAAGCTATAGGTACTTTCGAGTGATATCTGGTAACACTGTTGATTAACTCACGTCTTCGTCCCCACGTTGAATATGCTGTTCACGCCTGTCGTGCGTATTTGAAATGAGACATTCGTCTACTGGAGCAGCCTCATAGAAGGTCACCAACGCAACACGTGGAGTATCCATTCTCAGTTACGAACTGTGTCTTTGTTTACTCTATGTGTTCTCCTCAGAATACCGACAGCTTCGCGCCGATCTCATTCTCACACGCCGGATACTAACTAACCGTGAGCATCATGTACATCACTGTGGATCCTAGCTCTTTAAAATTAATCCCGAGGCCACCACCTGAAACTAGTGGCGCATTGCACCCCGACACAAACGCCCAAGACATTCTAGACTGGCCGCACTTAGAGAACCCCATGAAGCACAACCGCAAAACCTCGTCATGATTACAGAGACCTGGTTAAACCTTGAGACAACCGATTCGGTAATCAATTTACCCTGTATGTCGCCGCTTCGGAAAGATCGAACCGGTAGAGGTGGTGGTGTGATGCTTTGTTATACTACAAACCTCCGATGTGAAGTGGTTGATCATCCGGAATCTCGCGCTTCTGATTTGCTTTGGTTCCGCCTACCGTGACAGAACAAGGCCACATGTCTACTAGCCATGATTTGCCTCCCACCAACCTCTACTTCGGAAATGAACTCCAAACAGAACCACGTCATTCAATTTGCTTTGAACAAGTCCTACACCCACATTCTTATCACTGGTAAAGTAAGTAAAGTAAATCGTCAGCTGTACGCCGTAACGGCGCTTCGCTGCCACGCGACCACCACCAGTCGCGCGTGTGCTGAGTATACCGCCAGGAAGCCCGCCCCTACGCGGATTCGAACCGGTGACTTTATAGTTGCAAACCAGACGCGCATACCACATGTGGTGAATGCACCAAACATTTTAGTGCTAAACGCCAAACAACAATGGAAAAAGTTTAATGTCTAAACGGCTGATTATTCACTGTCCATGCTCGAAAGTTCTCGTTTTTACTTTTCCTTCTCATTTTCTATCTTGTGGATCTTGTAAATTTATGCTTTTTATCAAATACTAATGAAATAGCGGACACCAATGATGGAATGTGCAGCTGCCATCAAAATGTGTATATTCTTATGTCACTGATATGCGTTACGGAATGACTCTCATTCTAAAGCCTTTCATGTTTTCTAAATATACCTCCACCAATCAGGGTTCCACAGTAAATGCCATTATCCCTCATCATAAACAATAAAGGAATTGGCACTCAAACGACGTCTCGCGAGATTACTACGTAATGAAAAGCACACGATGCTGCTACAAAGCGGTTGTTGTTTTTGCAACATTCTTGGTCCAATACCGCACAGCTGTGACAAAGAGACAGCCAAAGGAAAATGATTAAGCTCTGTACAAAGAATGAAACTCACTTTGATCCCTATCTGTGGTTCCCACTGAAACCTAGCTTTTCTCCTCGCATGTGATCCATCCATCCATCATTTTTTCAGTCATTTCACATCCATCAACTAGGGAATTACGCTGTATACGTTTAGTTGCACGTTTTCTACATGTGAGGATATCTGTTGATTCCATCCTCATTTGCCGGTTTTAGATATGAGTTACCAACAGTTTATGAGCGAACTACATCGGCTGTGCTAGTCTATTTCTCTTCAGCAAAACAGGGAACCATGGTTGAATTTAGTGATCCAATTTCCGTTACACCTGCGTTTGATGGCAGACTTACCACGAAAATGGTTTTGATGCGGTCTCGATCAGAAGACATAACTACGATTTCCAAGGTAAATCTATGGTACGTTTCACTTTCCAAAAATTAAATAACTCTTTCATATTCCAGGGGGTTAAATCTTTCCGAAGTCAGCCTACTGCGTTCAATGTGCAATTTGAAAATTGTAAATTTGAGGTATAGCGGGCTAAAGACAATTTCAGTTTGGCTTTTAAGCACAAACAAAGTTACATCTTTGGAGCCTTTTAGTCATTGCTCACTATTACAAGAGCTGTACTTACGTGGGAATAATGTGCAAGATATACATGAAGTGGCTCATCTAAAGAATCTTAGCAGCTTGCAGAAACTGTGGTTAGAGGGAAACCCATGTTGCACTGCAGGTCTGCAAGTTATGTATCGTTAACATAGACGATCTTCGTTTCCGCTTTCTAGTGCTGTCAGTATTACCGGAAAAATTGAATTCCCTTGAGCTATATAGATGCACAGTGCTTCGAAACCTTATTGGTTTAACTTACTTAGACTATACAGGTAAGCTACATATTTTCTTACCCCTCCATCAAAAACAGGACTGCGATTCACTCTAATGAATCAGACCGTTTTGGCAGTTGTCAGTAAAATCTTACGTGGGGATATAAATGGTGTTGCTTGGTTTGATCTTCTATTACGGCGAGATATTTGCATACGTTTCTTTAGCAAACTAGATAAAGTCATCAACGTAAATTTCCAGTGAAGTAACTTACCTAGTCCACTTTTCACCAAACCTCAACTTATCTATCTCAACACATGGACTGGATGGGGTTCCCAGAAAAGGATGTGCGACTTCAGGTCTACAAGATAAGCAAAGCAACCGGATAATTCAACTGGTCTGGATGTGACGGATTTCTACCTATACCATTCAACTCCCCCTACCACTCAGTACGCAGGTCAAACTGCTTATAATGCCATAAGTTAATTGGCGGCTTAAGTTTGGTAAGCTCGTCGCTTGGTGACGGGGGCTATCCTGTCCTCTGCACGGCAGCAACGTGTAAGTCAGTGGATAGTGAGCGGCGCTATATCACATCTACTAACTTATTTACTATGGTCGTTGCCATTCCCCTGTAGCTCAGTGGTCTCAACCACGGACTGGCAACACTCGAGTTGCTGGTTCCAGCCCTACCAGGGTCCGATGGAATGCGCAGTGCTGGCGATTCCAAAAAGGAGGAAATGGGCGTACAGTGTTTTCCGGGCGTGTGACGGCTGCCTGAGTGAGTCTAGATATGACGAATTTCTACCTATAAAATTGCAATCACTATGCTGCCTAATATGGTGGCTAGACACTCGTTGGCCAAACTTTTGGTCCAAATGGTAAGCAACTGTATCCATTAGTGAGTGTTGCTTTACATACTTCCAAACAGTTGCATGGGTTGGTGTTCAATGTAACGTGCGTGTGCGAAAGCAAACGTTCATTCGTCTGGTCTGAACATACGCATACACATTGTACCAAAGGTACCGTTTTACGAGGAGATGAATTTTACGTGTTTTTGTGTACCCCTTACTTGAGAGCTCGTGTCCCACCCGAGTGTCCAAAATAACCCCATCAACAAATATCAGCTCAGAGGCGAAGGAACATAACTTAAAAACACAATAAAAGCCGTACTGGTTCTGAGTTTCACATCATTCATGGTTTGTGACCGCGTAGACTCTAACAATGAGAACTGACATTCAGTAGATGGTGCCGAAGATGCGACCACTTTTCAGAGATTGGGAACTGTCAATGGACCTTAGTAAGTTATTTTCTCTTTTGTAAATTTTTTTAACACAGCACTAAAGTTAACAACCCTACTGCACTTATTTACCCTGAGTGCCGTAGCTTATCTGGCCAACGTTTGGGCGTAATAGAGTTACGCCCATCCGAAGTAGTTAGCGACACAGAGCTGTTACTGAGCGGAGAGTGTACCACCCCTACAGAAGAATGGGTGAGAGACTGAGTTGGCGGTCTACTCGTTTCAACGAAAGTCATCACATGTGTTCCACGCACTGGACCCTAGCCAATGATTTTCGTCATACAACGTGAAGCTAAATTTAGAACTGAACTACACAAAATAAAACACAAGCCTGAGACAACATATTGCGGGCAGTAGGCAATGAAAAAGTAGCTGAATTAGTAGGTTCAACGGATCCAATTGCTGTCAATTTGAAGTTCGTGGCTCTGTGCGTAGAGCGACTGTCACCGAAACTTCATTGTTTTACTAATGGACAGACTTATTAGTTGGACAGCTTAACGATTGCTTCGACTATACTGCTGCAGGAATTTTACGTAGGCTACTGCCCCAGCAATAGGATTACTTTAGAAGGACTCGCACGAAGTATGATAACATCTAGCGACCTAACAAATAATTTGGAAATAACTGTTTTGGCGCAACACATCATATGTCTAGGAGCTTGTTTTACAAAAATGTGACCTTAATAATAATGCCAACGCTAAATGCAGGTAACTAACTAGGAATGTTGTAAAAAAAATTTGAAATAGATCCAAGGTTAGCTAGTTGATACTTGCTCGTAATCGAAATTCTAGGTAGCATTTTCGTAGACATTCACCTAGATACTAAGCAGAACGAGATCCAAAACCTGATTGCTTTCACCCCAGCCACTTGAAGATTCGGCGTCGTTTTTTTATACAGCGCTGCGCACGATTGCTTGAATCATCCCATCCTACCCTACAATATGATAAATATGGTTTCGACCAATCGGTAACTTTTTCTGAGGACAGCGGTTGGAGGTTAGAGTCCGAGCATATTTGACCGCATTGATTGTGACGTACTGCAAGTTTGTATACGTCGACCCCACATATTTCTATTCTATTTTTTATCTTTCGCGAATGCTGTCAGGATTTAACAGTGGTGCAAGGCGCTCGACCACAACTTGGTCCATTAGCGTAATCTTGGGAAGGTCTGGAATTAGTCGGCGAGGAACACGCTACCATTCAGAGTAGACAAGCGTCTGTTTGTTCACACACGCCACTTACGCGCCCAACTCTATAAACTTGGAGTAAACGATCTTCAGATCACCTCCCAGGGGCGCTGCTTGTGGGTGCTCGTGCAGAGCGACCACGGTTCTTCAGACAGCATGGATCCGTTTCAAAACGTTGTATCCCATATACTAGTCTCTTGCAGAGGACACTCGAGAGTTTGGTATTAAGCTTCTTCTCCACGGCACCTATTGCCTACGTTCACCTTAAAGTTGAATACGCTTTCCATGGTCGGCAACATTGGCAAAGATCTTCGCAGTACTCGACATACACAAATTTTGGCAACGAAGTATATCAATAGATTGTTCAACCCTCTATGCCGGCAGAATTTGGAAAAGCGGGAACTTTATGTGAACACTACCTGCAGCCAAGTGTAGGCTCCACATAAACATAACCAAAACTGAGCGATCGTTATCGTATGTACCACCGGCTTCTGAAGATAACCCCAAACACTAATCGATAGGTTAGCATGTAAAATTTTCGGTGCAATGTATTCAGCTAGAGTGTCTATGGATTTACGTCCTCATAGGGTTTACTAACCCTGAAATACCTTTCCAAACTCAGTTACATTTGGATTTACTCCAAACATTTACAAAAAGTGATGGAACATCGCACCCAGCTCCCTACGATTCGTTACATGAAGGTGGTACTATGGTATATAGTCATGTGACAGATGATTTCGAGTAATAATCCAGACTGATACACGGAAACGGAGGCAAGCCAATGAGCCACTCGGTTTTTCTTTACAAGTAATACTAACTGTAACAATTTACTACCCTGTTTCTCATGTTTCCACCCTATTTCTACTATCTTACTTCTAATAGATTTTATCCTCTCGCTGGCTGATACACAATCTATTTCCCTTACATGTATAATTCATGCTATTGCAGTTTTCCTTGAAGAACTCTCAGGTACTGTTAGACATGTGCCCTTTAGGCATTATAACCATTTCTCCTGCTAATGCTTTGCTAGTGTTCGTGCAGGCTGGTGTTTAAATGACTGGCTAGTAGCTAAACTTGAGCACGACTTTATGGCTTCATTTCGGCCGTAACGATCTAAAGTGCTGCAAAGCAACAATAACTAGCTTTTCGGTGACATACAGTGGGGGTAACACATTAGTCTGTATGCGATGTTTCTGACTTCGACTCTTCCACGCGTTTTGATATTCCATGGAACCAACGGCTGTCATGATTCTTCGGTTTTCATTCATTTGGCCTCAATGCTCTGCTTTTCCGCATCTGGTAGATAATTGGTGGTTCAAGAAGATAGTGGCGGTTTGTCGACCATGTATTTAAACCTCGCTGCACTTGTACTGGTATTAAAATACCTTGATTGCACAACAGGCCGCGGTTCCGTTATTTGCCATGCCTGTAAATTCGGTCTAACTGATCAACTATTGGTTCATACTTGATGACAACAATGCTTATGACGACGAACGACATCACAAAACCAAAGTAAGGTTACTTTGATAAAATAAATGCTTACATCATTAAAGTCATTGATTTAGTAATGTTCCGGTGACAAACGGTTCGCAAGAATACTTGCTTCATGCAAGCAATACCCCTTTTTTGTGACTACAGCTCGTCGATATGTATTACTAATATCACTAAATTTTCATTTGCCAGCTGTCACTTCCGAAGAGCGGATTCAATCCCAAAAATGTGGACTGATTTTGACAGCCCCACCACCCGTCAACTACGATGGTGGATTAGATGATGCTACAGATCAGCTTTGCACTTCACTGGAGCTCATGGATGAGTCCGTGCTCGAAACAGATCTGACGGAAACTGAGAAGAGTATGATTATAATGCAAATTTTTATTTTGTTGCATTACTTCGTTTACAGCTCTAAGCGAAGACGAAACGATCCAGTTGGAAAATGACGCTGATGGGGTAAGGCAATACCGTCTCATTCCAAGAACAGTAAATTTGCACAAACTTTGCAGTTAAAACTAGTTTTATTCCACTGATAGTTTCATTGGACAACATACGTTCCATCGAAGAGTGCACATGGTTTACACCGCTCTTCCGAATAGGGAGAAGTAGAACAAACGGTAAATAGCCTGAAGCTTCACATGAGGTGCATATTTCCCATAGGCGATAAAACTAGATCAAAATTATTCCGTCCATCAATATCAATTAGCATCTAAATCGTAGCAAACAAACCACTGATATTAATCACACTACTGAAATATGAACCGATCTAACACTTGATATGCTATCATTCAAATGCCTTCTATTTTTATCTGCAAGTCCAAGTGTGTGAATGCGGTGCTACCCCGGCACACATAGTGATTTCCGCTGGTTTTTGCTTACATCTCAGTATGTTAACTAATGAGTCGGCAACTATTAGACACACTACCAGATCTGATAAAACTTAGTGTAGTTGTACTTCGTCGTTTTGGGTCCTGCGTTTATCACCTCATTGTTATTGGTGCTTGGAGGTCATGCATCGCAAGGTATTTGTAGCATAATTATAGAGTCACTTTGTGGCACCAGCAGAGAACGTGCCATGACCTAAATATCTTTTGTACGTTTATTTTACGTGTTTTCCTCTACGCGCGTTGAGTAAATGCGTGGGTATCATGAGCACAAACTAGTCTATCGCTCGCCTAATAACCGCTAAAACATGCAATTACGACAAATAAACGTTTACTGCAATATCATCACCATGGGCCACTATCATACAAATCAACTGCCCATTCCTAACGTCCAGGTTGATAGAGAGCGTGCAGGTGGAACGACTGTATCAACCGCAACTGATCACGTGCCATTCGCAAGTAGGTTTATGGGCACGTGCGGATCTGTAGACAATAATCCTAATCCTCCCCTTCGTCCTTGTTACATACACTAAATCTGTAGCCGACTGCGACGACAGTGACTTCAACATTGTGCATCGACATGCCCCAACCATGAACCAATCTAAACATGTGTACAAAGGCGCCACATTTTGAGGATAAGGTAGAATTATACCTGTTTATTATACCACACTTTGTGTATTAATTTGAACCTGGTGACGCTTAGCCCCAGGATGTGCCTGAAAATAGAAAAAATCGAACTGTACTTCTTGCCGCAATTAACTTCTTCCTACCAGATGAGGTTACTGAGCAAAATAGCTTTAAGTATGTGTCTACTGAATTTGTTGTCGGTAGTACAGCTTGTTAGGATTTATGAAGTTCCCCCGATCGTCGGTTTTCAGCATCGGCCCATCGAGTCTTTCTGGATAGATCTAGCGGCATACGAATGCACGTGCGTGAGAATGATCTTGATTCAGTCACATGGTTAGATGCTTTGAGTTCACACTTGTTTGTGATAATGAAAAACGGATCGCGTGATGCAAACTAAACTCGAGACAACCATTATGACTCAACCAAATGAAATTTTTTCTTGCATCATTATAGTGATCCAACGAATTATGCGTTAAATATGCTCTGAACAGCGACACCGAGTAAGGTTTTCCAGTACATTGAAGTACTGTCTATGGATGAAGTAATACAAACGGATTGAGGGTAGTGTGCAAAGATTTCTAAAATGAAAACGATGTTTATTCACAGCTGTTGAACTTTCATAAGGAATAGCATCCCATCTACATATAAAGGAAAGGCATATTTGACGTGTATTACAGTTCCATGTATTTTGCTATAGCTTTCGAATACCTATTAATTGAGCTAGTAGGAAAATTATTTAACGTGGTCGCGTTAATGTTCATACAACTATATCGTTCGAAGCTGCTGCAATTTTTTGTTTATTTATGATAAATGGGTAGTGCTATACACCAGTAAAGATCCCGTCACTCTCGAATTTGACCACAAACTCAGACTATAGGATGTGAAGAACTCGATGAGGGAACTCACATTCAGACACCGATTCCCCCGACAATTGAGTTTTCACCAGCGCTGGCGTGTGGAAAGCATTTCAACGTACCATCTGCTTGGATGCTTGAAACAAAGTGAGCCTGACCTTTTGACCTAACGCAATTGCTTGATGCAAAGTCGCATGTTTAACTTATGAAGTAATGGAATACGAAAAGCCAGTTCAGCTCCTGATTTGGAGCAGATTTGATTGTATTTTTAGGACAGTATTTCACCACTTCAATACTAATTGCAAGACAAAACCTGTAAGGTTTGTAACATGGAGGTGCAATCCCCGTTTTTCGCCCGTCACTCTAACCTAGCGGATTCGGTGCCTCTTCCATCGTAATATTGCTGTTAATCCGCAGAGCAAACGCACACGTTAGATACGTAAATACATATTCCTTTTTCATGAAATAACTGAGTGAGGTAGGAAATCCCGCAGTCTACCGATAAACTGTGTTTGAATGCTGTCAGAACATGCTGTATCACAGCATCCAATGTATCTGGGATGAATATAATTTAATTCTTTTCTGTTTTCGAAGTCCTCGAGTATCTGATGATTTACCCACCTGGTAGCATGCGTTCAAACTGATTAATATTGTGTTTTGATGAGCATATTTACGCCATTAGTAAGATTTGCACTTTGGGGTTTATTATAGCAAAATAAACAAAATGTGTAAGTCTTGTTGGCTACTGTCATGTAAACAAATGCAAGCGTACGATACTTAGCATCAAACACGTTTTCCGTCCCAAGGATGGACAAGCGTCTGCCTGACTACAACTTTGTCATCAAAGTGCAGATTAACCGCAACTCAATCCACGACCATCGAGCAATTCAGTAGTATGTAAACTTGGGATTCGCTTACAAGTGAATTCACCTATATGAGAAGGCAGGCTTACGCTTCTGTGCCCTGAATTTATCCCCGGTTCCGCACAGTAAGAAAGGCTGCTCGCATTCAAGCTAAATATCCTCCAATTTCGGTGAACGAATCATAAAGGCGCTCATGTCACTACGGCGTGTCACCAGATATTTCTCCAGAATAATCCGACCCAATATTGTTCATTGTTACGGAATAATGATCAAGTATCGGCCGTTGGCCGAGTGGTCTGCGCACTTGGTTCGCAAACATAAGGTCACCGGTTCGAATCCGCGTAGGGGTGAGCGTCCTCACGGTATACTCAGCCCGCACGCGACTGGTAGTGGTCGCGTGACAGCAAAGCTCCGTTACGGCGTACACCTGGCGATATTTTTAAAATGACCATTTCAATTAACCAAGGTAAGCGTTAAAGAGGATACGTTTTGTGTGCTATATCCTACAATTGCTTTGATTTATTTTCCGGCTGCAGAAAACGGCGCCTCTGAATTGATTGGACCCCACAAAGTAGTATGACTAGCAATAATGACCGGCCTAAGGACAATTAACTGACATTGCATAGCCCGTATGAACCAAATATGAAATCACTTCGAAGAGGAAGAATAAGAGTGGGATAGTAACGCAATATTAATACCACTATCGAATTGCCTATGGGATACTGGGGAATACCAACCTTCGACACTGGGCGTCAGCACGCATGGAACCAGACAAGTCCTGTCAACGACTAAAAATTGTCCACTTACCCACCGTGTGGAGATTTGGAAGTGAGCCAATTGTCTCTTTTAGCAGTGGCTTCGTGTCAATTTTTACGAAATTTATTTGGTTCATCACAATTAGCTTACAAGCCAAAAACGCTAAGTAACGATACGGAAAAGCATCAGACGATCGTTTTGCCCTAGTGCAGCTTGTCAGTGGTGCGCATTCCGTTCGTTCTCTTCAAAAGATCGAACCGAAGACCGCTAGTGGCTTGAACCACTGGCCAGCAGATTATGCCACTCAGTAATGGGGGAAGATGCACGACCACCATGAATTGAAATTTAACTGTGATTTAGCCAACGAGATTGTTATCTTCATGTGGACCAACACCTGCACCAATACATCAACACGCGCTACCTGAAGCAGATGAGATGCTCACATAACTAAAATGGTTTTTTAACTTGAAGAATGGTTTATCTATACGCGTGACTTACTTTTTACTGGTACCCGTATGCATCTGCTGATTCTATCCCATCAGTCTCGTTGAGTGGATGAAGAAGCTGTTTTGCAATCCACAGATTTTCTTCTCCTGCATCCGTAACCACAATACAAACCTTGCAGCCCCAATAGCACAGTAAGATTTCATACTCGATTGCTGGTAGCTTGATTGCATGTGGTACAAAGATTTACGTTATAATTTCGTGACTGAAATGGCCAACTCAGTGTAGAAATGCCAAAGCAACACAAATTCCGGCTTTTGGAAACGTGCAGTTTGCTCATCCACTGATTGTTGACGCAGGATTCCTCCGCGACATTCGTGCATAGGGGTAGTGAGCTTCATTTTGACACTGCGCAGCACCAAAATAAATAGACATCTATCAAATGTTAAACTCATACGCAACAAGTTAGATTTTTGCTGAGTGATAGGTGGAGTGTTCACTGTACACATCCCAAAGCACCGGGATCGAGGTTACTAAGTAGATCTGTCTTGAAACTATGGAAGCGTGTTAAAAGCTTCAGTGAAGCAGCGCTCCGGGTTTCCAAACAGTCAAAGGCTGTTGTGAACGTAGCATCATTTTGCTGCTTTAGTGATATCTACGCTGATCGCTATCTTCAGACAAAATCTCGCGCCTTCCCGTTCGTACAGCTACTTGTCACCATAGTTAAATTATGGCGATGGACTTATGAGTGTCTCTAAGTGTAGCTCCGAACCAAAAAGTTTACTCTAATCAATCCGTGAGTGGCAAACGGATTTTGATGGTGTGTCTCTATGCGTGAAGCTCACTTTATGTGATTAGGTCACAAAGCTGGTTTTGCGTGCGAACACAAACTTCTGACATTTGACTCAGCGGCGTCGAGTTAAGAAACTATGCAACAAGTTTGAGTATGCCGTGGTACACAGTACAGCAGAATTCTTCGCCAACCATTACTGATCGCATAAAGTACTCAGTACATGATTACTGCAACATTAGAAAAAGAAGATGACGTCGCAATTATATTCCTTATAGTGCAAACCAAGTGTCTTTTGATGGGTATCAAGTTCGCGTCCGTAAGGCCACTTTCGACGCTTACCAACAATTGTATCTGGTTTGAACGCATGCGATGCGAAACCTAGTACCAATAAGCATGTAACACACGCATCCCAGATACGTAATTCCAGCAAAGAAAAGACGGCTAAACAGCAGGAGGTTTCTCAATCAATTGAGAATGTACAAGATTCATGGAAACTCGCGCCACGAGCCCGGGGGTGGGTGTCAGATGATTGACTGGCTGGTTTGAGTGGTAACCAATCCGCGCACGGCTGAAGTAAAAGGATCGAAGTCATTCGCGTACGTGACATTCCCTCAACGCTTGAAATGTTTATGCTCCTGGTACGAAACGGTCAACGGGTTTATGTGTACGCTGAGATCTACGAAGCGACGGTGCATCTGATGATTGTACAGTATCCTGGGGGTTGTTTCCGTCTCCGGCTGAACCGATGCTGAATCACGTAGACGTTCATCTGCTGTTGTCCCAACAAAAGGTGAGAGTATGTGGTCTGAGGGTCGCCGTACTATCCGACCATTTAATTCGAGACCTGCTTGGGTATAGTCATCTTTAATTACAGTTGCGGGTTGCCAGCAGTGCTCATGGGGAAGTCGTGTATATACGGGATCACGCGGCTGCCAAGTAGAGTCGTGGTCATCTTGCGATGCGGCAGCTTTGTCTTGTTTCCTCTCCATTTGTGCTCTATGATTTGGTAACAGTGTGTGAGTGAGAGAGTGGAAACGGAGTGTTCGGCCAAACATCATCTCCGCAGGTGATTTACCAGTGGCTTCCGAGGGCGTTAAACTGTAAGCAAGCAGCAAGCGATCTAACCTCGTCTGAACAGTTCTTGGTGCTTGTCTTGAGAGACCTCTTTCAATTGTCTGCACCGCCCTTTCCACTAGCCCATTAGAAGCAGGGTGATATAGAGCTGCACGGACATGCCGGACACCATTACTATTCATGAAGATTTCAAATTCTTTACTAATGAAACATGGTCCATTGTCTGTGCAGAGTGTCTCCGGTATCCGAAATTTTGCAAATGACGACTGCATTTTGGAGATAGTTATCTCTGTAGTAAGGTGGACAACGGAATGAACCTCTATCCATTTCGAATGAGCGTCAATTAGCAGCAGGGATAATACACCATTAATGGGTCCAAAGTAGTCCGCATGGATGCGCTGCCATGGCTTTTCAGGCCAACGACAAGGGTGTACCGGACCGGGAGATTTATTTGACTGGTACTGTTAACAAAAACCAGATGTTTTTTGATTGCTCTCTATTTCTGAATCTAGGCCAGGCCACCAGCAATAACCGCGCGCCCAGGCTTTCATTCGGGCTACGCCTGGATGTGCGTTGGGAAGATTGTTTAGGATGACCTGCCGTGCCTTTAGCGGTAGAATCAGGCGGGATCCCCAAAACAAGCATCCATCGTGAAGGCTCAATTCATTTTTCCGTTGTGCGTAAGGTTTATGATTGATGGGAACTGTAGTTAGTCGGCCGGTTGTTGTAAATCGCACTATAGAAGATAGCGTTGGGTCACGATCGGTCCACTGACGGATGGTGTCACCTGTCAATGGAGTGGTGTCGAGGTGTTGCATTAGATTTACTAGCTCTACTGGTTCCTCCAGTATTTCGTCTGGGGTTGCATGTAGTAATCTGCTTAGTGCATCCGCTGTATGATTGTTCAACCCAGGAATATAGGAGATTCGATATTTATATACACTTAATATTAATGCCCAGCGTTGCATTCTCGGGGAAAACATCTGCTCGATTCTCTTTGACTCGATCAGCAAGGATATCAGTAGTTTGTAGTCGGTTTGTATTACGAAACAGTTGCCCCAAATGTACTGATGAGATCACTTGACGCCAAATATAACTGACAGCCTTCCTTTATCCAGCTGGGAGTAATTCTTTTCGGCAGGTTGTAAAGTTCGTGAAGCAAATGTAATCGGGTGAATGACACCACTCGACATTTTGTGGCATAGAACTGCTCCGAC